TATGGGAAGTATAAAAGTATCTACCCACACACTTCTGACCTTACTGCCCTTCAAGGTATTTGTTAGGTAAGGATTTGGTAGCTACAAAAGTTTGGAAAATCATCTACTGACTTTTCTGTCTTTAGGACAGTCCCAGGGCACACTGGTACACAGATGTTTTGTAAGTTCTTCAGTGAAGACACATGGTACTAAGTAACTATGGCAGCAAACCACTACAAGTATTTGTGAAGCATTGTTTTTTGGGGTGGGGTACAGACCTAGTCTAAACCCTGTCTAGAAGAAAAAAAAATCTAAGCCATACCAATTCTACCTTAGTCATGGTTATCTGATACTTTAAAAACATCAGAAATATCTATACGCATCACAATGCTTATCCGGAAGCTCAGGAAATGTTTCAGACAGAGGGCAGAAAGACGGAAAGAGCCAGATGTTGGGAGGACTTCTGGGAAGCAATGTCCTCTGAGAGTGATCTAGCTGCACTCAGGAATTCACAGCAGCTGTGGTTGCCTGTAAAACCTGCCCCAGATCAAGCTGGTTGTGGCTGCTGGGGGAGGGTCATTTTTCGATGGTGTGGCTTCTGGTAGGATGTCAGTGCTCCAGTGTGTGGGCTCGCGCCACCACTATGCATTTAATTGGATTATTTAGAAAAGAATAAAGAAAGGAAAATGAAAGACAAGAAGTTGGGAGTCACTGGAGTTGGTCTGGAAGGAGTAAGAAAAGAGGGAGTGGATTTGATGAAGATAGATTATATACATGTAGGAAATTCTCAAAAAAATTAAAATGTTGTATTAAAATCATTCTTAATTGAGAGTTGTTAGCAGTGAATAGCATCACTGAATGAAGACTTACCATGTGACATGCAGAGAGGAAGGGAGAGGGGAAGAGAAGAGAAGAGAAGAAAAGAGAAGAGAAGAGAAGAGAGAAACACAAAAGCAAGCACACTAGAACTGGCCCACTGTAAGCCATTATGAAACAAATTACTAGGAAAAGTCTATAGTCTGCATGGTGGAGTTATTCTGGTGTGAATATTATGCCCTTGATATTTTTATCATTAAAAAGATTTTCCTTTATTAGTAACTTTTTAAAGTTTTTTATTGTTTCTTTTTGAACTATACATTTTTCTCCATTCCCCTCCTTTCCTCCCCTCTCCCCCTCTATCTGTTCCCTGTGACCCCCTAGCTCCAAATTTACTCAGGAGATCTTGTCCTTTTCTCTTTCCTGTGTAGATCCATGTATGTATCTCTTAGGGTCCTCTTGGTTGTTCAAGCTTTCTGTCTGCCCTTAATCTAAAGATTATCATCTACCACACAGCTCTCTTCTCTGTGAAGACTGCTCCAGAGTGAAACCTACTCCAACAACTCTTCCCTCCGTCTGAACTTTCTAGGTTATTGTTAATATGAATAATTTGAAAATTAATCTTATGTGACTCAGTGTCATGTATAGAGTTTTTATTTAGCTTTGATTGTGAGTCTTTGTTTTGTGTTTTCTGGGAATGCACTCCTTCTTAATGTCTAGTTTAAGAGGTGGATGTGAAATCCTCTATCTTGCACATGGCAAGTTCATAATTCTAATTTGTAGCTTCCTTCCCATCCTTTATATCAGCAGAGCCTATCAAGGTCTCTTTTTTCTTTATAGTTACCCAATGAAACTAGAATACTTAACTTGAAGTTAGACACTTGCTATTGAAAGTTAAATAAACTCAAATAAGCTAAAAAGAAAAAAAATGTTCCCTCTTCCCTTTCAATGGGTAATAACTTCCAGATAATACTTTTTGGCATCTAATGCTTTTGCAGATGTTGTATATAATAAAAGGTATGCTCTCAGAAATCCAGAGACTGTCTTGTCTCATGAATTCTAATTTTCAAGACAGTTCCATAGTTCCACGGTTCATTCCTTACTTGATTTGTGGTTCTAAAATTAATATTTAATTTGATAATCTATCTTTAAAGGCATAATAATTTTGAGCTTTTTCCTTTTGAGTCATATACAATCCTTAGCCTCTGTATTTTGTCACATTGTATAGAAGTCAAAGTAAAACCCTTGGCTTTCTAGGTTTCCTAACTTGGCAGAAGTAGAGAATCTGATATCACTTTCATGATATCATCCTTAATCTGAGTATAATAACGTTTAGTGTGATCATTTGATAAATTAGTTGTCAATACTGCCTGAGTAAAAAGCACTGCACGTATTAGTGCGTTAGAGCTTCCGACCACAGCATGGGTTCAGAGCAGTGAGCATCAAGAGAATGGCTGTATTCTGCAGGCGGAATGCTGGGATTGCTGTGTGGAGAGAGGACTTGGGCTTTGGGTCGAGAGGAGTTAGTCTGAGTCCAGCTACACAGTCAGTAGTGATGGAGCTGCGGGGAAATCATGCGTCTTTCTGGAATCCCCATTCCAGTGTGGAGAGTCGAAGAAACAGGAACTTATCATGAGAGTCGGCATCTCCTTAGGGACAGACACGGCTAAACTCAGGTAAAAGTGCTTCTAGCTGAGAATATGCTGTGACCGTATAAGTGTTGACCATGAGCAGATGAGAGATGCTATGATTACTAAATATTGAAAATACAAACTCCTTTAAGACAGGGAATTTTCTTTCAGAGATCTTACCAGGTAGTAAAGAAAGAGACATGCTCACAATATAGGCGATAAGGCTGAAGAGCTGCCTTGTATATATCGTATGTCATCTAAGTGTCAAAGACACAGCTCAGCCCTTGAATGACAGAAAAAGGCCCTGGCATGAGACCATCTCATCTCTCAGACTCGGCATCCACTGAGCTGCAGGCTCTTGGATGGCAGAGGTCTGCTGCATTGCAGGAGAATCATAATGATCACACATAAAGTCAGGCCATCCATGCAGGCTTCTGGGACTCTCTGTAACTCAGGTCGACTGCAGTGTACTTTTCAGGGAAATTGTGTGTGTGTGTGTGTGTGTGTGTGTGTGTGTGTGTGTNGAGAGAGAGAGAGAGAGAGAGAGAGAGAGAGAGAGAGAGAGAGAGAGAGAGAAAGAGAGAAAGAGAGAGAGAAGAGTATAAGGTAGGGATAAAGAAAGAGGTAGCAACAGAATGGAAGGAGAGGGATTTGATTTTTGTTTAAGGGAATAGAATAAAAGCTAACAAATTAAGGTGTCTTGGAAAATTCTATCTATAAGTCACAGCTATAAAATGAAAACAATTTTTTTTCTGAGTACACAATGAGAACAAAAAGCTATGTGCTTTTATTGAATTATGAACAGTAATCTATAAGAACTAGAATCCTTATGTAATTCTCTATTATTTACATTATTACCAAAAACTCTAATACGACTATGAACATTCACAATGAATTTAACTATCCTCTGCACCAGGGAGGGTGCTTTATGTAGTGGAGACAGTCAGTAAGTACATGAACACACACAAGGGAGTAAAAGGAAGCAAGAAAAAAGGAAAACACAGAAGGGAGGAAGCAAGAAAGGAGAGGACAAGTAGAACTGGACATTCACTTCGAAATTTTACTTGTATTTTTGATAGGTAGGAAATTAACTGTATGAATTAACTTGCTAAATTTTGATGTTACTCAGTATTAGTGAGCCTGATTCTCTCATATAAACATGGGGAGATACCCGTGTGAGACCTGAAAATAAATTTTATAGTTATGAAAGAAAAATAAAATCTCTAAATCTATGATATAGCATAGTACCTTAAAGTTAATACTGTATGTACTGTATTTTTATTTCTTTTCATAGTGTGTAGTCTCTGTGTGTAGACCAGAGGTTGACATTGGCTGTTTTTCTGCTGTTGGACAATAGTTTTACCCTGTAAAGATTTGTTTTTTTGGATTTGTTTAATAAAATGCTGAATGGTCAGTAGCCAGGCAGGAAGTATAGGAGGGGTAACCAGCCAGGAAGTAGAGGCGGGGCAATGAGAACAGGAGAATTCTGGGAAGAGGAAAGCTCAGTCTGCAGTTGCCACCCAGACACAGACCAAGCAAGATGTAACTGCCTCACTGAAAAAGGTACTGAAAAAGGCTAACACAGACAAGAATTATGGGCTAATAAAAGTATAAGAGTTAATAAGAAGCCTGAGCTACTAGGCCAAGCAGTTTATGATTAATGTAGACCTCTGTGTGTTTATTTGGACTAAATGGCTGTGGGATGTGGTGGGACGGTTACCTCTGACAACAGTTTTTCTTTGTCATTCTCCCCAAAGATCTTCCTCTCTCCATTTCTGCATCACTGGGATTATAGGTGTGTACTACTTTCTTTTTATAAGTGCTGGGGACTGAACTCAGGTCCTGAATCTTACAGACTGAGCCAGTTATCTAGCCTGTTTACGTTTTTTAAAAAAATGTGTTAGATGGAATATAAGTGTGTTCTAAGTAGTTACACCACAGACAGAATACTAGGAGCAATGATTAGAGATGATGGATATATTCATCATGGTACCCTGTGGTAAGAGACTCAGGAAAACATATTCAGAAAAACATTCAGGTGCATATACTCAAGAGGTACAGGTTTTTGTTTATCAGATGCCTTAGTAAAATGACCTTAAACTTCACTTTACTAAAATTAGTAGCAAATAGTAGATGCATAGAAAGTTTTTACTGGTAATTCTTCTTTACATTTTTGGTTGCTGTTGCTGATACTTCTTGGACTTTGGTGAATGCTGCCCACTGCCCCCCGTCACCATCACCACACCCTGTCGCATCCTCTTACATGTTTTCTCATATACTTCTTATGTGCACCAAACTATATTGTAAAACTGAAGTTTGAGGAATGTGGTCACAAGTTCTTGGGAGGTTTTCTTTCAATAAGTAAACAATATACCATTTTAATAAGGTCTGCTTCTCAATATTCTACTGCACACAGATACATATGACCATCTAAAAGAGGATGTTAGAACCTCCACCTTTATCCAAGAGGAGTAAAGCCACCATCATCAAGGACCTCTGGACCACCTAAGTGGCAATGCTCTCATTGATGCTAGGTGTGGATGGAAAGAGAGAACATGAAAGAGACATACTCACCGATAAGATCTGGTCTCCTCTCTGGAGCTCCCCACTCAGGTCTGCTGGTCCACCGGCCAGAATGAAGGATACAAAAATTCCTTCTCCATCTTCCCCGCCCACAATGTTGAAGCCCAGGCCAGTGGAGCCTTTGTGAAGGACTACCTTGCGGGGCTCCCTGTAGAAGCAAACGGAGAACACAGCTCACAGGGTGACCCTTCTCAGATTCCGCTCTCTTTTACTATTGTGAGAATATGTGGTACCAGCTGTTCACCATCTACTACAATGACAGTGGCTTCCCATGGTAAGAATGCACTTGCAGATGACGAAAAGACCTATGAGGGCAGATATCTGAGTTCTCCATCAGCATCTCATGCAACACCATTCCTGAAACATCTTCAAGCAGTGATTCTTCCACTTTTCTCTTTAAAAGTATTTGTAATTGTATTGACCATACAGTACTCAGTAGACTGGCAAGGTGAAGAAATAAAGGAGAGATGGTGAGAGGAGAGGTATCAATCAGACTGAGCCTTGTCAGTGGTGGAACGCCCTGGAATTTCTGAGGCAGCAGGACTGCTTCAGTGAAGAAGATTAAGAACTGGTCTGCACATTGTTGAGCTACAGTCTTGTTGGGAGGCAGGAAAACCAGCTCAAATACATAAAAACAGGGACAGGAGGAGGGCTGGCCACAGTGAGGATGCAAACGAGTGACAGAGGAGAGAGAAACTTGAAGAAAGATGTGGTGGGACATCGGGGAAGGGGAGAGGGCTACGAAGTAACTGTCAGAAAGAGAAGTCATGGGCTGCAGGCGTGAGGGGATGGCGTGAGGGGATGATAATGAGGCATTTCCTGTTCCAGCTAATAGTCACACACCCCTGTGGAGACACTCTGCAGCAGATGGAGACAAACGAGAATTGAGGGTCCCGGAAAAACCAAGAACCAAAACCAAACAAACAAGACAAAACTAAGCAAACAACATCAACAACAACAGAAACCCCAGTAAAACAAAACAAAACACCTGAGTTAAAGAACACACAGGTTGATCCATTTCCCCCTCCCTTATATACATTAGTGTTCATGTGTGCGCCAGTGACATACATGTGTGTGGAGGCTAGAGGTGGTGGACTTCAGGTAACAGTCCCAAGGCACTGTCTACTTCCTGAGGCAGTACTTCTCACCGACTTTGAACTCACTGATTAGGTTAAGCTGACTGGCTAGCCCCAGGGATTCACCTGTTTCTGCCTCTAGTAGCGAGATTGCAAGTGTGTGCCATCGTTCCTGAATATTTTTGTGGGTCCTGGGGTTTGAACTCATGTCAGGTACTTATTTACGTGGCAAACACTTTCCCAACCAAGTAATTTCTCCGGCACCTAATTCAATTTTCTTTTAAAAATTATTATTATTATTTTATCGTGTATGTATGTGTGTGTTCCAGAGGCCAGCTTTCGGGCATTGGTTCTTCAATTTCTCTATGGGTTCTAAGGATCAGCCTCACATTGTCAGGCTAGTGTAGTTACCTTTTTTTTTTTTTTTTTTTTTTTGGTTTTTCG